GAAGACAGGACATGTTGCTCGTTCTGATTTGGCCGTGAAGACAGGTCATGCTGCTCGCTCTGATTCAGCCGTGAAGACAAGATATGCTGCTCGCTCTGATTCAGCCGTGAAGACAAGATATGCTGCTCGCTCTGATTCAGCCGTGAAGACAAGATATGCTGCTCGCTCTGATTCAGCCGTGAAGACAAGATATGCTGCTGCTGCTGATTACCAAATGACATACTGAACTCCGTATTAACATTTTCGCCGCGGCCAAATGGCATTCCATTGCCAGAAGCATCAATGTGCTGAGACCCCATGCCGTTGCCAAGGCTGACGGCCAAATTTTCCCTGCTGACCAGATCAGCATTCCTCAAGTTTGCAATGTCACCACGGCTGACCGCCAAGGCTTCCCTGCTAGCGGCATCGGCGGTCCTCCAGGCCATGCGCGTGAAGTTACCCCAGAGGCCCCGCATAACGGTAGGCCTGTCCCCACTGCTGCTAGTGCTCCCACCGGCAGAGGCAGCAGGCTGCTGGGCCTCAGAGCTGATGCAGTTCCTCACGGTGAGCTCCTCCACCTTCTCGTCGGCGTTGCAGCCCGCCAGGCAGCGCTGCTGCTGGGTGACGCTGCCGGGCCTGGACGACTCGGAGCGCGACATCCCGACGCTGGGCGTCCCCATCACGCCGTCCGTGCCGGTGCCGGTGCCCATGGAGTTGAAGAAGGAGAAATGCTCCGACCACTCGATTTCGCGGGCGTGCGGCAGCGGCGTGGCGGGCATCTCGACCGGCTCGCTGCCCGTCGGCAGCTGCTGCTGCTGCTGATGCTGATGTTGCTGCTGCGCGGCCTGGCCGCTCTCCTTGCCGCCCTTAACCTGCACATCCCCGCCGCCGCCGGCCGCCTCCGCCGCCCGAGTCCCCTCCATCCCCGCGCGAAACCTAGCCACGCGCTTGGGATAACAAGATCACGGCCCACCGCAGCATCCGCCTCACGATTCAGTGGCCGCGAGTTGGAGTCGGCGGGCACAAGCACAAGCACAAGCTGGAGTCGCGCCGGCCACGAATCCCGCCGCAGAGGTGGGACCACGGCCCCGCGCGGGCTACCTGCAGGCCACAAAACGAAGCGGAGAGTTGAGGATTCGCCGGCCCGGGAAGCGGAACGGCACGCCCGCACCAAATCAGGGCCACCAGAACGAACCGCGGGATTAGAGCCGCCGCCGCGGGAAGGGAGGGGAAGGGGGAGTTTCCCGAAAGGGAAAGGCGCCTAGGTTCCCTGGTTTCTATGCCGGGCCGCGGGCGTGCG